AAAGCAGCTCAGATGATGAAACTGCAACTATGATTCTGATAACAAGCTAACAAATTGAACTAGCTCCTCTAAGATAACCGGCTAGCAGAGCTTCTGACTGACAGTTTATGTGCAGCAGCAAACCAACTATCCTGATTAACAAGGTTATAAAAGCTCATGAATGAAAAATCACTTTGATGTGTGGGGGAACTTTTCCAGGCCCTCTTCAGCAGGGTGGGACTGGTAGGAGAGTGCTGTAGCCTTTTAGCTGGAAGCTAACCGGAGCCTGGGGCTAACACTAGCGACATGAAGGTGGGTTGGTTCACCGGCACATGTCGGAGTCAGCCCGGTAAAAATGATTAACGGCACCGAGCGGAGTCACGTTCACGTTTGAAAGCAGCGCTGAATCCAGAAACATCAGCACAAAGTGCGTTCGTTGCTCTGAGCCAGCATGACGAACAAGGGAACGGCGCCGCTAACTCTGTTTGGGTGTTGCTTTCCAAAAGGGTCTATGTAGGGGGCGGGCGTATTACGTGAAAGGACCCATCTGATTGGCCGCATATCAGAAGGGCTACATTTGATTGGTCAAATAATACTTTCGCGTAAAAAACAGAGCTGGTTTACAAAAAGCTGATGTATGACACGGATGGAAATGTTTGAACCAAACATTCATCGCTGTTTTTGCCGTGTTTTGCGATGGGCCTATCTCACGTCCTGTTATCGCGATGACGATAATTTTTCGATATATTGTGCAGCCCTACGTGAGTGTGTGTATTTGTTAGCGGCTCCACCCCCTTGGTCTGCTAGGCAACAGCATTTGTTGCATTTTTCAAACAGGAAGTGGGAGTTGAGTAAGAATCTGGTCGGGGGTGACTTGCTCTTTAATGATCGGAGCCCCATCACAAACCAGACTGGTGTCAGCCTCAGGAAGAGGAAACACTAACACCGCAACTGTTTCTGTGAAAGAAATTTCATTCATAACAAACCACAGCAAGACTTTATAGATCAATACTGACTTAGAAAATCCTACCGCAGTACGGAGCGTTGGCAAGCAGCAGTACGTCTGGCAGAGGAATCATGATTAACTGCCTCAGATGATCCTGCAAACGAAGACAGAGAGGAGACGGGTGGTGGAAAACAAGATGAGCACATTTAGGCTGACGTGAGACGGAACAGAAACCTCAGGAAGACCAGCTAAGGTGCTTCAACAGACATGAGTGTATGCATGTGGAGCACAAAGCGCCTAACAAAACACGCGTATAGAGAAGCTGCCAACAAATGAGTGAACCCTGAAAGTGTGCCAAGGAGTGTGTTAATGTGTGTTTCCCTGGTGCAGAGCTGAACTGTCCAAAGCTACTCAGTGAAGCCTCGTTTCAGGCTGTAGGGTCTGTGGTCCATGCTGGTGAGTGTGTGGGACGCATCCTAAAAGCTTCTCATGGACGAACAGGAACAGCATTCTGGTGACAAGTACTGCTTATCTGCTCGCTGATGAAGACAAAGCTAACTGTCGCTAAACACTTCTGTTCAATGCAGCAGCCCACAACAACCGCCACTGTTCCTTAAGCGTTACAAAAACCCTCCTACTTCTACTAGATGTGAGACTTAAGGGTCTGGGTTACTGCCGAATCGTGTAATACTTGTTCTTGTTGAAATCAGTCTTTCTGCGGGCAAAAACAACCCGATCCTGTCTTTAGCGGCGCAGCGTGCCGCTTCTGGGATGCGCCTGAAAATTGCAGCGTTGCAGCTGGTTTGAATCACCCCATCGACTGTAATGGAATCTACGTGACGCAGTGGCGTTCCGCGCCGCTGATGCTTCCAGGTTGCAGTAGGCGTAAGTTTCACATGCACACCGAAAGAGAACATTTCTTCATCGCCCGCATCGGCTGCAGAAAGGAAATAATAGACGAGGAAATGATCAGGTCAGAAAAAGCCGTTCTCTTTTAGGTCCGAGTAAATTAGCATCCGTGGCCCCGCCCACCTTGGCTTGGGACAGCTCACAGGAACGAGAGAGCAGCGTGCTTCTTGGCTAGTAGAGGCTAACTGTTAGCAACAAGTCTACAAGGCGGAATGGCTATAGGTTTGTGTTATTAGTGAGATCAAACATCAGCGTTGCTTTTTCTTCCAAGAAAGAAAAGAGAACAGAGGCAGCAGAAGAGTTGCCTTTGTTAGCCAATCACAGGTGAGGCATTTGCAAGTCATGAATATTAATGGGCAACAAACTTCTACCCTCTGAAACAGCTTTTTTTTTTGACAGGAAGTGACTCACAGGGCGTTAGAGACAGCAGCAGATGCACTTATATGTGAATGAGAATAAAGACTGTTGGTGGGTTTCATGGCTAAACTTCTAGATTTAACAGGGGTGGGCAATCCTGGTCCTCAAGGGCCGCTATCTAGCAGGTTTTTGTTGTTTCTCTGCTTAAACACACCTGATTCCTGGATGAAACACCTGTTCAGCAGCTCATCAGGCTCTGCAGCAGCCTGTTAATCACCAGCAGATTCAAACCAGGTGTGTTTAAGCAAAGAAACAACTAAAGTCTGCTGGATAGCGGCCCTTGAGGACCAGGATTGCCCATCCCTTTTCTAGAAAGTCTAGAAAGTAAAGTTATAACTGAGTGTCTTTGGGCTAAGATACTGCGTTCACTTTGAATTTTAGTTGATTTTCTAACCATTTTGTCTAAAAGTTCATGAAATTTGATTTAATTAAACCTCTGGCATTTCCTGGAAACCTGTCTGGATGTTGATGAGATGTTTTACTAACAGACAAAAACATTATCTTGTGTGTTTTCCCAGGAAAGACACAATTCTGAAGCTCTAAATAAAAACAGCAGACGTGTATTAGCGTGTTAGCTTTGCTTGTCTGTCGACGTTGACGTACCTGAACACACCTGCTGTTCTGCTGCGACCCACATCTGATTTAACCCGATCTGCCTCTGTAGCTTCTTCTCCAGGACATTTTGCAAACTCAGCTCAACACCAGCTTCTTCTTGTCAAACTGCTCGACTTAATCAATACCGCGCCCATCACTGGTGCCGTCCTTATTTTGCTCCCGGCTGGAATTTTCGCTGCTTTTTACTTCGTCTCATGAAGCCCAGTTAAATGGAGATTTACAGAAAGGTCAGAGGACCCGAGCATCTCACTAAATACACGATAATATTATCAGTGCAGGTAACAGAAGTGACTTAAAGGAGAATTAAGAAAATAACATTGGTTTGAATAACAATGGATTTGATTTATAGAGCGCTTTTAAATGCACCCAAAGTGCTTTCCATTATTCACACACTCACTCACTGCTGGTGATGGTGAGCTACTGCCTAGCCACAGCCAACCTGGGGCGATGTGAATGAGGCAAAGCTGCATCGGTCCCTCTGACCACCACCAGCTGTAATATTCAGCTGCTGGAACTTTATGCTTAAAGAGCAAGTCGCCCCCAAATCAACTTTGTTTTTCTGGCAAACTATATAAATGCGTGTCTAATCGTGCTGCAGACACGTGTAGTCAGAAAGTTTTGCACTTTAGTGCATTTTTGTTCAAATGTAAATTTTCTACCTAATGGGCTCGACACACGGGAGGCGACATCGCCTCTCCTCCATTCATTTTCAATGAGACATGCGCGACAAAGCGATAATCGCGGGTCTCCCTCCTACCAAGCGAAACTGCGATATTATTGCAGCCCTTTTTTATTGCAGTACTATCTAAACATAATGTTTACACATTTAAAAAAGGTTAAAAATTGCCATGCCTTCTTTTATAACACTTTACTGAATGCAGATCAAAGGGCAGTAACAACCGCAGTAACAACCTCAGTAACGTTTGTTTCTCCTACAGTCGGAGTCCGACTGAACTTAAAAACAACAAAATTCAGGAGGTCAAACTTTTAAATGCAAATTTGGCTGCAGCATCTAACAAATAAGAAACAAGTCCCCATTTTGTTTAGTTGTTTAAAATCAAGCATAAAAAATTACATGTACCGGGCGCGCGCGCGCCGGGGGGTGGGCGCACTATCATTTCACTTTCACACACACGAATGACGGTGCTTTATAGCTCGGTCACGTCCTTGTTACCCACAAGCAAAACCAGCATGTTAACCATACATGCTTTGAGAGAGGATCTGAGAGGGGTGGCAACATTTCCAGCAACACTGAAAACCCTCTCAGATGGAGCGCTCGTTGCACTAACGCACACGTACTTGCGTACGACTGGCGAGCAAAGGGAATCTCTCCCGGTTGTTGCTCCACCATGTCAGGGGGGTTTCTTTAGGGTGGATGCGTTCCTCCTGCAGGTAGCGAGTGAGCTCCAGCTCGGCTCAAACTCTCTTCGGGGCGGTTGCAGAAGCAGTGCTTGTCCGGGACTTCAGCAGGTCTCCGAGCGTTTATTTATTTATTTATTTTTGCCGCTGGTGGCAGCTCCGTCTCGGCCAAGGACTCTGGCTGCGCAGCAGCTGACGTACTGAAAACCAAAGTGCTCCCAAAGGAGCGAAGTAACGTTTCGTTTTGATACCAGTGCAGCCATCCTTCTCAACATGCATCATTGAGTTGAACCAAGTTCAGTAATCGCGGTGGGCTTCTTCATATTGCGATATTTCATTTTTGCGGTTACCGTGACAGCCCTAATGGGATGAACCCATTCTTGGGTTTTTCTTTTTTTATAGTAAAATCAGAAGTAAGATTTCACATAACTCTAGCAGCACCTTGTGAAACATCATCGCTTTTTAAACTCTGAACCGCTTAAATAACCTTAATTCCCTCCAACCTGACACAGCCAACCACAACAGCAGAAGATTCGATTACGCCATGGAACAGAACACGTAGACGGCTTTGCCACTGGCCGCGGCCGTGGGTCGCCTTCCGTGTGTCAGGTAATAAAAGCGACAGCGGCGAATTTCTCTGATCGCGGTCGTTTGTCGACTCCCGTGTGTCGAGCCCATAAAACTGTCAGTGTTGTGCCGTTGTCAGGTAAAAACTCTGCACTGCATTTGAATTTAAATCTGTCATCGCCATTGGCTAAGATGTACCCTAGAATGTTAGCTGGTACCATATGATGTCACAATGTCGTTGTGAGCCTGTGTGTGTATTTGTTAGCGGCTCCGCCCTCTCAGTCTGCTAGGCAACAGCATTTGTTGCATTTTTCAAACAGGAAGTGGGAGTGGAGTAATACTCTGGTAGGGGGTGACTTGCTCTTTAAAGACCGAGTTCACTCGTTTGTTTCAGCACTTCTGTTTGTGTTCGTTAGTATAAATCCAGGTGGAAACTTCACTGGTTGTTTATTTTTAATTGTGTCTATTCTGATTTTCCTTCTTGTCTAACCACCTTGTTAATTCCACGCCAGTCTCATTCTAATATCGTAAAGCACAACAGATTTCATTCGTGGTTCCTCGTTTTAAAAAGGAGTCAGGAAAGTTCTTTTTCTGTTAAAGCTCCAACCGACGGGAACACGTTGCCTGCTCATTTAAGATCCACTACATCTTTTCGTTTGTTTAGAATATTCAATTATTATTATTATTATTATTATTATTAATAATCATTTTGGTTCATGAATATGTGACGCCCACCCGTAACTGTTTTTGGTTTAGAAGAAAAGGGAAAAAAGGGAAAATGCTTTGATTTAATAAATAAATCAACAAGCAAACAAGTCCATGGACTTGTTTGCTTGTTGATTTATTTATTAAACTTATTTGTTAGTTTGAGATCAATGTTTCTTTTCCTTTTGATTGAGTTATGTTGAGTTTAAGGTAAGTAAGGTAAGAGGACCCGCGGTTTCATCCTCATGAAATATAAGTTTATAAATAAATGAATGTCTTGTGGTTTGTTCTCTGTGGGTAAGAAGCGCTGGCACTCATCTTTTAGAAAGTAGACGTTGACTGGAAGAGTGTGACTCAGCAGACGACAGGATCTGGAGTCTTACTTCCTGATATGTGGACGTCTCTCCTCTGATTGGCTAACAGCAACACAGCTCTACCACTGACTCTGTTTGCTCTGCAACATTGATGTTTTATCTCCACCAATAACACACGCCTGGAGGAGTTCTGCTGTGTGGTGGAGTTGCTAATGCTAGTGGTTAGCTTCTCCTAGCAGAGACGTTCTCTGCTGTTTCCTAGACGCTAAACCAACAACAGCTTCCCCGTCGTGAGTCCAGATGGGTGAGTCCATGAATGTTAGTGACAGTGTGACGTAGATCTGTCAGGATTTTCTATCCTAGAGTTTCACCGTCTGTTTTCTATCAGCAGCTGATGCAGGAGGTAGGTGTAGGAGACTATTCTCATGTTCAGCCTGCGTTAAACACTCAGTTTAAAAAAAAAGTAAAAAACGATTACCCAGTGAACTTGGTCTTTAAAAAAAAGAGAACACTACACCTGGTATCTACATATTTGTTGAACCAAAATGACAAATGGTAAATGGCCTGTATCTGATATAGTGCCTTCTAGAGTCCTAGAACCCCCCAAGGTGCTTTGCAACACATCATTCACACACCCTGCTGATCTGTATGGAGCTCCTCCTCAGTAAAATCCCATCTCTGGTGATCTCAAACCAAATTTCATCTCTTTAACGCAGACGAGCTACGACTTTGGCATCTCTGTGATTTCTGAGTCGCTGCAAAGCTTTCCGTTGGTCTGCAGCTCTGAGTGGCGCTTTACTTTCTGCCATGCCCGAACCTCGCTCCTGTGCTGATTACACAGATGTTCACATCGTGGATATTTAGGTCACGCATCCTAAGAGCTGATCAGTGAGGACACGAGCGCCATAAAAAAAGTGTGTGCCAACGAAAAGTTTGGGTAAGACCCAAAAACATGATAATAATTGGATTTAAAGAGAGATTAGGGGCTTTGATCGTGACTAACCAGGGGAAGGAATGTCCAAATACTCACCAGATAATACGCTTTAACTTGCTGGACAAGAAAGTTCAGGTTCTGGATCCTCCGACTCGGATCTCTGCAGACACTCTTTACACCCGGAGGAGCAGAGGGAGGGTTTCTGTACACGGGAAAATATACCAGAAAGAGCTGATCAGTCCTTATCTAAACAGACTGCAGAGTCGTGGCTGAATGCAAGAAGTCGCCATTTATTCCCAACTTAAATGACATCATTCGTCCAGGCTGGGGTGTTTGGTGGCAAACATCCCACCCAGAAGCTGGAACTGTGTGCGGGTCCTGGTGTGAGCGAACATCCATTCACCGTAGTTAACTCCCCAACAGCAAAAGGCTGCGGCAAAAACACACGTTTGGATTTTTTCTGATTCTAACTAATAATACTGAGTAAAAGAGAAATATGTCATCAGGTTGTAGCCTGCCTGTCTCCTTCTTTTCACACTGCTCTTCCTGTTTCTGGATTCTGTCCCCCTCCCGTCTGTGTCCGACTGCCACTAAACAGCAGGCTCTAATCCCAGAGGGTCTCTCAATCCAGGGGATTATCCCGCCTCCCCCCCTCCCCTCATTACAGCATCGTTTTAGGTTTAGGAGCTGGTGGTTGTGGCCTTGAGGAGGATAAGTGGGCTGAATGGATGCTGTTAACAATAACGAGTGCAAGGTTAGGTCACCAGTTTCTCGTCTGCTTACAAAACCGTCAATTCTGCATAGAATTTTGCCGTTAAAGTGTCATTCTGTGCTACTATGAGAGCTAAATAACAACAAGTCCATCATCAGTCGGTTTTCCTCAAGACGAGGATAAAGCAGACACAACAGAAGGCAGAATATTATAATCTCTTAAGAAGCGTCTATGATTTTCTTTACGTTTTACCCAATCCAGCTGGCGAGTTTGTGCTCAGAGTTAACTTTGATCTTAATTCTGACATGTTCTCAGAAACCCTAACCTGTAAGAGATGAGGAAGTTACATTTAAGTCCGTGACTACAAAGATCCCATTTATTACTGCACACGGACAATGACAGCACTGTTGGTGTCTGCTTAAAAATGTGAAACTATCAGCTATAACCTATCAAAAAGGAGGAGAAGGCACTCTCCAGTCCACAGTGATTTAATACTTCATCTAAACACTGGTGAACCAGTTTAAATGCCACTAAATTCATAACATAAACCATCAATCAAGAGATGATGCAGTCCACATCCTACATGAATGAAAATGAATTAATGAAAATGAAATCATTCGTTCAATTCATTTCATTTCATTCATTCATTCATGATGCAATCCACATCCTACATCAGGAATGTGAGGGATGGCCTGCAGAAAGGACTTACATTTGAGCCATTATGTCGTTCAGAATAACTCCATCCAGCAAGTCTGAAAAGTCTAAATGCACATCTCCATCGTTTGGAATAAAAGTCTTTACCTAAAACCAAGAACAGTAAACACTTTTAGTGACGTCACAAGGAAACGTGATCCCAGTTTTCTGACTTTACTCACCCAGGTGACAAGAGGGCTGAGCATGAACTGATCCTGCAGGGAGGCTGGAAAACCTCCAGCTTCCATCCTCACGATGAGCGCGTGGTCTCAGTAGAAATAAAGGGTTCAGTCGGGACAGCTAGGTGGAAACCGCGTCCTTCTCCAGAAGTGCTCTTTACAGGAAGTGGATCCGCACATTTCCAGCAAGTTAGGAATATCTTCCAAACGGTTCGGTGTGATTTTACTCACAAACTCAGTCAGAGCTGCTAAAAGTTCGCGTCAAAACACCCGCAGTTGGTCCCGCAACTCCAAAACACATCAACACACACACACACACACGCACGCACATCCTCTCTGGTCGTTTGCTGCAAACTCATCTGCTGCTACAGAAACCCCCCTCCTCCTCCTCCACCTCCTCCTCTTCCTCCTCTCTGCTGCTCACGCAATAAGCTAGCTCTACTGTTAGCAAAAATAATACTAATAAAAAGAATAAAAAAGTGCTCTTCCCTAATATTTATAGTCTAAACTCAAGTAAACAAGATCGTCCCGTCGGTTTTTAGGTTTGAAGCGATGGTTTGAAGCGATCTAAAACAGAAAAATCCACCAATAATCTGTCACCATAGTAACAGCGCATGCGCTATTCCCCCTCCGCTAAATTCTGAATATGAAGCTGTGCTAGCTAAAAGGCTAAACACCGTGATTCTCTATTAAATCTTCTGAATGCAAAATAGTTTAAAGTTTAAGTTTAAATACGCTTTAAAGTTAAGTAAAGTTCAATGAATGTTATTTTTATCGCTCCTAGCAAGTTTCAACCAATCTGACTGTTCTCTAGGAAATCACAACAGCACCTCCTAGTGGTTCAACTCTCATTAAGAACTTTCTGAACGCATCTCAGTCATATTCCATTTTTAATAATTACTTGTAAATATACCATTATTTCCAATACATTTTCTTACATTAGTTTAATGCAATAGACCCACCGTTCAGCAAAAAAATATTAATACAAAACACATTTTCAGCCTTCTAGGTCAAATATGGAGCTCGACAAAATAATTGATTTTGAAGGTGCATAACAGATACATTTATTGATAAAAGCTTTAAAAATCCTTAAGTCAAACGTTATTCCTTCGTTGTTTACACAAGCAGTCTCGTTGAAAATAAGGTTAAGATCGTAAGCAATGCGAGGTCATATTAATTAAATGGGCACACATCATGTTTATGTTCATATCATGAAGGAATACAACACATTTTATAGGTGGAATGCAAGAGGATGCAGCATTTTCTGCTGGGTTTTAGCGCCCTCGTGTGGCCAAAACGGTAACATGATTAGAATGTCCAAAAGGAGTGGAAGTCACAAACACCGAAAAAAGGTTTCTTTCAATCTTTTATCCAGGCTATTTATATTTGTTAACATATTGCGGTTGACAGTTCCATTTTAATATGTTAGTCGATTCTATTTTTTTTGTTCTTTCTGACTGCTGAAAGTTAAAGAGCAAGTCACCCCCAAATCAACTTTGTTTTCCTGAAAAACTATGTAAATGTGTGACGCCACCATCAGCGTCAGCTCTGAGGATGTTTGCAGACGCAAACAAAACTATCAGGAAGGTAAAGAGAAACCTTTTCTGTGTTTCAAAAAAGAACCAAAAATGGAATTAGAAGCCAAACACAGAAAGAACGTACCAAAGAAATATAAATGCGTGTCTAATCGTGCTGCAGACACGTGTAGTCAATAGTTTTGCACTTTAGTGCATTTTAGTTAAAATGTTAATTTTCTGCCTAAAACTGTCAGTGTTGCGCCGTTGTCAGGTAAAAACTCTGCACTGCATTTGAATTCAAATCTGCCATCGCTATTGGCTAAGAGGTACCCTAGAACGTTAGCTGGTACCATATGATGTCACAATGTCGTTGTGAGCCTGTGTGTGTATTTGTTAGCGGCTCCGCCCTCTTGGTCTGCTAGGCAACAGCATTTGTTGCATTTTTCAAATAGGAAGTGGGAGTGGAGTAATACTCTGGTGGGGGTGACTTGCTCTTTAAGGATGTAATCAGGCAGACATTAAAGGGCCATGGTCGCCATGGTGCACCCACTGACCAAAAAGATTGTTCCAACTATATAATGAAAGTGAATCCTTTCAATGTGATCCTTCACACAAACAAACGCTGCTACGGCACCTTATTACAGGCTCACACAAAAGAACTGAACTGATCACAAATCAGTTACTTTGCAAAACAAGAAACAAATTAAGAATAAAACTAAACGGTTTTTCTTTTGCACCTGTGTTAGTGCCTGATGCTGTTTTGTTAGACAGAATGGACATGCCCATTGCTGCACACATCCCATCATGCAGAGTCAAACAGCACCAATTAGGGAAATTGTATTTCTAACAAACACGGCTGGAAAATAAGTTCACTGACTTTACTGAGGAATAAGCCAGTTTAAAATGGGCTGGATAATTACTGCAGATTTACCATGTTAGCATAACCAACTTACATGCTATACAGGCACAAAAGGATTTATTACTCTCATGAACATATCCAATACAGGGAGTGCAGATTTATTAGGCAAATGAGTAATTAGTCCACATCATCCTCTTCATGCATGTTGTCTTACTCCAAGCTGTATAGGCTCGAAAGCCTACTACCAGTTAAGCATATTAGGTGATGTGCATCTCTGTAATGAGAAGGGGTGTGGTCTAATGACATCAACACCCTATATCAGGTGTGCATAATTATTAGAAAACTTCCTTTCCTTTGGCAAAATGGGTCAAAAGAAGGACTTGACAGGCTCAGAAAAGTCATAAATAGTGAGATATCTTGCAGAGGGATGCAGCAGTCTTAAAATTGCAAAGCTTCTGAAGCGTGATCATCGAACAATCAAGCGTTTCATTCAAAATAGTCAACAGGGTCGCAAGAAGCGTGTGGACAAACCAAGGCGCAAAATAACTGCCCATGAACTGAGAAAAGTCAAGCGTGCAGCTGCCAAGATGCCACTTGCCACCAGTTTGGCCGTATTTCAGAGCTGCAACATCACTGGAGTGCCCAAAAGCACAACGTGTGCAATACTCAGAGACATGGCCAAGGTAAGAAAGGCTGAAAGACGACCACCACTGAACAAGACACACAAGCTGAAACGTCAAGACTGGGCCAAGAAATATCTCAAGACTGATTTTTCTAAGGTTTTATGGACTGATGAAATGAGAGTGAGTCTTGATGGGCCAGATGGATGGGCCCGTGGCTGGATTGGTAAAGGGCAGAGAGCTCCAGTCCGACTCAGACGCCAGCAAGGTGGAGGTGGAGTACTGGTTTGGGCTGGTATCATCAAAGATGAGCTTGTGGGGCCTTTTCGGGTTGAGGATGGAGTCAAGCTCAACTCCCAGTCCTACTGCCAGTTTCTGGAAGACACCTTCTTCAAGCAGCGGTGCAGGAAGAAGTCTGCATCCTTCAAGAAAAACATGATTTCCATGCAGGACAATGCTCCATCACACACGTCCAAGTACTCCACAGCGTGGCTGGCAAGAAAGGGTATAAAAGAAGAAAAACTAATGACATGGCCTCCTTGTTCACCTGATCTGAACCCCATTGAGAACCTGTGGTCCATCATCAAATGTGAGATTTACAAGGAGGGAAAAAAGTACACCTCTCTGAACAGCGTCTGGGAGGCTGTGGTTGCTGCTGCACGCAATGTTGATGGTGAACAGATCAAAACACTGACAGAATCCATGGATGGCAGGCTTTTGAGTGTCCTTGCAAAGAAAGGTGGCTATATTGGTCGCTGATTTGTTTTTGTATTGTTTTTGAATGTCAGAAATGTATATTTGGGAATGTGGAGATGTTATATTGGTTTCACTGGTAAAAATAAATAACTGAAATGGGTATATTTGTTTTTAAGTTAAGTTGCCTAATAATTATGCACAGTAATATTCACCTGCACACACAGATATCCCCCTAAAATACCTAAAACTACAAACAAACTAAAAACTACTTCCAAAAACATTCAGCTTTGATATTAATGAGTTGTTTGGGTTCATTGAGAACATGGTTGTTGTTCAAAAATAAAATTATTCCTCAAAAATACAACTTGCCTAATAATTCTGCACTCCCTGTAAATGTAAAACACAATGCATCCATTCATCCATCCATCCATCCACAGCCAGTTATCCGGAGTCGGGTCGCGGGGGCAGACGCCTAAACCGAGACGCCCAGACTTCCCTCTCCCCAGCTACTTGGGCCAGCTCTTCCGGGGGAATCCCAAGGCGTTTCCTGGCCAGGCAAGAGTCCCTCCACCAAGTCCTGGGTCTTCCTTTGGGCCTCCTCCCAGTTGGACGTGGCCGGAAAACCTCACCAGGGAGGTGTCCAGGAGGCATCCTGACCAGATGCCTGAGCCACCTCAACTGGCTCCTGTCGATGTGGAGGAGCAGCAGGTCTACACCGAGCCCCTCCCGGATGACCGAGCTTCTCACCCTATCTCTAAGGGAGAGCCCAGACACCTTGCGGAGAAAACTCATTTCGGCTGCTTGTATCCGCAATCTCGTTCTTTCGGTCACTACCCAAAGCTCATGACCATAAGTGAGGGTAGGAACGTAGATCGACCGGTAAATCGAGGGCTTCGCCTTCTGACTCGGCTCTCTCTTCATCACGACAGACCGGTACAACACCCGCATCACTGCAGATGCAGTACTAATCCACCTGTCGATATCACGCTCCATCTTTCCCTCACTCGTGAACAAGACCCCGAGATACTTAAACTCCTCCACTTGGGGCAGGACCTCATCCCTGACCCGGAGAAGGCATTCTGCCCTTTTCTGAATCAAGACCATGGTCTCAGATTTAGAGGAGCTGATTCTCATCCCAGCTGCTTCACACTCGGCTGCGAACCGCTCCAGCGAAAGCTGGAGATCCTTTTCTGATGAAGCCACCAAAACGGATGCCCTCCACGCCTTGGCTGCGCCTAGAAATCCTGTCCATAAAGGTTATGAACAGAATCGGTGACAAAGGGCAGCCTTGGCGGAGTCGAACTCTCACTGGGAACGAGCCCGACTCACTGCCAGCAATGCGGGCCAAGCTCTAACACCGGTCATACAGGGACCTAACAGCCCGTATCAGAGGGCCTGGTACCCCATACTCCCGGAGTACCCCCCACAGAGCCCCCCGAGGGACACGGCCAAACGCCTTCTCCAAATCCACAAAACACATGTAGATTAGTTGGGCGAACTCCCACGCACCCTCCAGGATCCCCTAAGGATATGGAGCTGGTCCAGTGATCCACAGCCAGGACGAGAACCAAATTTTTCTTCCTGAATCTGAGGTTCGACAATCCAACAGACCTTCCTCTCCTCTCCAGAACCTCTGAATAGACCGTACCAGGGAGGCTCAGGAGTGTGATTCCCCCTGTAGTTGGAACACACCCTGCGGTCCCCCTTTTTAAATAAGGGGACCACCACCCCGGTCTGCCAGTCCAGTGGAACTGCACCTGTTGTCCACGCGATATTGCAGAGTTGCATCAACCAACACAACCCCACAAAATCCAACGCCTTAAGGAACGCCTCATCCACCCTCGGGGGCCTTGTCACCGAGGAGCTTTTTGACCATCTCAGTGACCTCAGCCCCAGTGATGGGAGAGCCCAACCCAAAGCCAGACTCTGCTTTATCACTGGAAGGCGTGCCAGTGGGATTGAGGAGGTCTTTGAAGTATTATGTCCACCTATACACAAGTAGAGGTCAGCAGCACACCATCCACACTGTAAACAGTGTTGGTAGCGCACTGCTTTCCCCTCCTGAGGTGCCAGATGGTGGACCAGAATCTCCTTAAAGCCTTGTGGAAGTCTTGCTCCATGGTCTCACCGAACTCCTCCCACGCTCGTGTTTTAGTCTCCACGACTACCTGAGCTGCATTCTGCTTGGACTGCCGGTACCCATCAGCTGCTTCTGCAGTCCCACAGACCAAAAACACCTGATAGGACTCTTTCTTCAGCTCGACAGCATCCCAAACTACCGGTGTCTACCAGCGGGTTCGGGGGTTGCCACCACGACAGGCACCGACAAGCCTGCAGCCGCAGATCTGGTCAGCGCCTCAACAAGAGAAGCACAGAACATGGCCAAAAATAAACACAATGCAAAAATACTGTCATTTGATTCTGGTGAGTTTGGTAGAATAAATAAGTGTGGCACAGGTTGTGTTTGTCTATATAGTGCAGTTTATTATGGGCTGCATCATTCATGCAGCAGTGCATGCTCATTTAACAGGTAACAGCGATGAAACAGTTTCCATCTGATTGAAACCAACAATCTGAGTTTAAGGTATTTAATATTAGCTTCTATTAGTGTGGATGGAACTACATTTATTTTGTGTACTTGTTTGTAAAAGCTGCAGCATTCAGGCAAAGGCTTAAAGACAGAAACACGTTCTGTGTTCATAAAGACTGGTTCCAGTCGTTTTCTTCTGTGAGGTCCCAGAAACCTTTAGACCCCTGTAAAGATCCACGTTTTCCCTGCTGGTCTTTGCTTTTCTGTAGGTTCTTAGCATGATGGGACTTCCAGTCTCTCACAAAAGCAGCTTTGATTTGCTCCAGTACCGTCACTCTTCTGTTCTGGTGACTGTCCTTAATCTTCATCACCAGACCGACTCCTGCATCCCTGTCAAAGTCGCTGCCCACCCAGTCGTTGTTACCTGAGCAACAAAAGCTACTTAATAACCCAACTTTTCTGTGCACAGATAAAGTTGTAACTGCTCCTGTGTCAGTCTAAAGAGGAATCTAGAACAGAAAAGCAACATCAGACTGTTTTTTATTTAAAGAGCAAGACACCCCCAAATTCCAAGTTTAGGTCCTCCACCACCTCTCTTACCCATGGTGTCCCACAAGGTTTTGTGCTGGGGCCTCTGCTCTTCCTCCTCTATCTGCTTCCTCTTCAGCACATCCTGAGCTCCTTCAAAGGAATCTCCTACCATCTTTATGCAGATGACATCCAACTGTACATCTCCTTTAAGCCCCATGAGATGTCTAAGCTGCAGCTGTTACACACCTGCTTAGACTCTATCAAAACCTGGATGGCTGGGAGCTTTCTTCAGCTGAATGAAGATAAGACTGAGATCCTCATCTGTGCCCCAGACAAGCTGGTTCCCAAAGTCAGAGACTCTCTTGGTCAGCTTGCTTCCCACACCAAACCTTCTGTCAGGAATCTTGGCGTGACCTTTGACCCAGCTCTCACCCTGGATTCTCATGTCAGTTCTCTTGTTGGCTCTTCCTTCTTCCATCTCAGGAACGTTGCTAAGCTGAGTCCCATTCTGTCCCGCTCTGAACTTGAGACTGATCTCCACACCTTCATCTCCTCACACTTAGACTACTGTAACTCTCTTTTCACGTGTCTGAGCAGAACCTCCCTGAACCGTCTACAGGTGGTTCAGAACGCCTGTGCTCGGCTTCTGACCAAGTCCTCCAAACACACCCACATCACCCCGCTTCTCCTCCAGCTTCACTGGCTGCCAGTCAACTTCAGGGTTCATTTCAAGATCCTGGTTCTGGTCTATAGGGCCTTACATGGACAAGCACCATCTTACATTGGTGATCTTCTTAGTCCCTACACCCCCAGCAGGTCCCTGAGGTCCAGTGATCAAAGCCTACTGGTTGTGCAGCACCAGGCTAAAGACCAAAGGTGACAGATCATTTGTTGCTGTGGCCCCCAGACTCTGGACTTCTCTCCCCCTGAGCCTGAGATCAGTGGACTCAGTGGTCTCCTTTAAAAAGCAGCTGAAGACTCACTTGTTCAAGCTGGCTTTTGTATGACCTTCTTCACCACTCTCTCTTTATTCTGCTCTCCCCACCTATTCCACCTTCCTCAGGATCCACTGATTTCCCTCCTTCCTGTTCACGCTCTCTCTTTCTTAACATTTTTCAATCACAATTGTCTATTTTTGCTCATTTTAAATATATTTTTAAACATTTTCTAAATGCTTTTTTATATTTTTACATTTTTTGTTTTTGTGAAGCGCCTCGTGATTTTTATCTTGAGAGGCGCTATAGAAATGATATTTTCTTCTTCTTCTTCAAATAAACTTTGTTTCTGATAAACTACGTGTGTCTAATCGTGCTGCAGACACGTGTAGTCAGTAGTTTTGCACTTTAGCGCATTTTAGTTAAAATTTTAATTTTCTGCCTAAAACTGTCAGTGTTGTGCCGTTGTCAGGTAAAAACTCTGCATTTGAATTAAAATCTGCCATCGCTATTGGCTAAGAGGTACCCTAGAACGTTAGCTGGTACCATATGATGTCACAATGTCGTTGTGGGCCTGTGTGTGTTTGTGTGTATTTGTTAGCGGCTCTGCTCTCTCGTTCTGCTAGGCTACAGCATTTGTTGCATTTTTCAAACAGGAAGTGGGAGCGGAGTAATACTCTGGTAGGGGGTGACTTGCTCTTTAAAACAAATTTTTTCATTAAAGAATGCTGTTTTCTTTTTGATAACTCATGTTCTCCTCCAAAGAAAAAGATTATTTATGAATGTAAATCACACCCTAGCCATTTCTTTGCTTACGAAGGACTTTACATTAAAGATCTTACCATTCCCTTTAAGAAACATTTAATATTTAAACAATTCAAAGTCGTCAAAGAAGAAATAAATGAAAAAAAAAACAGCAAAAAGATCCACTTTTCCTCGTGAGGACATCGTGTCCCCAGATTCAGTGAAATGTAACTTAAACGTTCAACTTTCATTCATTAGCAAAACGAAAAAGCCGTACGCGACCTACCGATGTAGACGGCGTTGTCGGTCACCATGTACTTGTTGTGGTTGAGGCCCAGCTGAAAGTCGTCCTTCTGCTCCTTGTGACTAAAAAACTTCTGTGAGGAAAGTCGAGACATTCGTTAGTCATCACACCAGCCGCCTGAGTGGAGGAGAAAGTCCACCTTTAAAGAGTCGCGCACCACTTCCAGGGAGCAGTTGTGCAGCTGCATGCACAGAGACTTGAGGGACGTGACAAAGTTAAAGGTGAGAGGGTGAGTTTTCCTCCAGAAGCTTATAAGAAGGTGAACTTTGACTCCTCTGAGAACCACGGCTTCTCTGATCACCTCATCGATAGTGGACCAGTACCTGTGGAAGCACCCGTCCGTTTTTCCATAAATATAAGTCCTCAGTATTCGGTTTCTCTGTGGGACAAACTTACACATGAACACAAACGGATATTTTTGGGTTCCAGATTAGATTAAAAAGCTCGTTCACACCTTGTGACAGAAGTTCTTCTGAAGCTCCTCCTGACCAGAGGGAGGTAGTCCATCACAGAAATGAAGATGAAGGTTTTGGCACTCTGGATGACTTGACTGATGGCGTCTACGTCTCTAGTTCGATCTTTGGGACAGAAGAGGTTCGGGGAGGTCTGCAGAAATGAGTCAGTCCTTTATAGCACCATAAAGCCTGGCTGAATGAACATAAGACTGGATTCTAATACTCCAAGTAACGGAAGTATGTTTATTTGAAATATACACAACAATACAATGAGCAAGACAAAGCCAGGACAGATGCTTGGAGCAGAAATGCTAATTGCTTATTTCCATCTGCAGTCCCTTCTATGTGCCGGTTTGCTGCTTGCAGCCGACAACGGTGCTAAAGCTCTGTGATGCTACGGCGACCCCTGCCTCCGCACCAATAAAGGAACCGTCCTGCAGAGTTTGGAGCCGCCGGTGGGCCGTGACAGCATGACTCCATCTGCTTCTGCAGGATGATGAATGTGTTAAACACAACTGAGAAGTGTCTTGTCGCTTGGAGGGTAACGATTCATTATGAAGAAGACTCAAGACGCTCCTCAGCACGATGTTGACGTGATTAATCGCCCCTTTTCGTGTTTCTGGTATTAGTTTGTAAAATAATAATAAAAGAGCTTCAGCGCAGTCGGGTGCGTGGAGAGAAACAAGAACCAGTAAAATGGGTTCATGTGTTCACAGGTTAGTACACTAGCTGATCATCCTGTCATTGAAGTTTTTTTACTGAATCAGTCATTTTAGCTGCTGTGACCAAACT